CAACAAATAGTGATAATAATCCCATCAGGATGAATAAGTATATAGAGTTGCCCAAGTTCAATGAGGAGGATCCTGAGGTTTTCTTTGCACATTTTTATAAAATTGCCATCAGTATGAACTGGCCAAGGGATCAGTGGGTAGCCATTATGCAGTCTCAATTTAAGGGGCGTAGTCAGGAGGTTTTCACATCCCTACCTGACGCTCATAGTTTTGATTATGAATTTGTAAAGAAAAGCATCCTAAATGCTTATCAATTAAATCCAGAGGCACACAGGCAAAAGTTCAGAAATCTAAGGAGGACAAGTGATCAGACAATAGCAGATTTTACTCGTCAGAAGACGAATTTTTGTAACAGATGGTTAAAGTCACTTTCAGTCACAGACTTTGATGCTTTAAAGAATCTTCTTATAATGGAAGAAGTATTGTCATGTCTCCCAGACCAGTTGTCTACTTTTATGGCAGAACAAAAGAATGTAACAGATATTGATGAGCTGTCAAAGCTCGCGGATGAGCATGAGTTGCTGACTAGGGCCCCGTTTACGGCCACTTCACCTAAGTCTAGTCGTAGAGTAAATTTCAATGCTCACCGAACTCCTTATCAGTATAAGTCTCCTCCTGGTGCGACAGTTACTCCCGTGAACTCTTCTCTTACTAACCCTAAGATGGTTACTCCATTGCCAGGATCATCTAAGCCTAGTAATGTTATTTCTAAACCTACAGTTGGTTCTACCAGTGTGTCCACTGTAAGGTCCTGTTCCCATTGTAAGAGAAAAGGCCATGGAATTCATTCATGTTTTATATTGCACCCTGAGTTACGACCAACTGGTCTCATTTATTGCAGAGGTGTGCAAAATAAACTTACTAATAAACATGTAACTGTAAACCCCAATTGGGTGAAACAGTATTCACCATATATGTCTTCAGGTGAAGTTTTGTGTATTAATGGGAAGTGGAAGCCAGTGGTTATTCTTCGTGATACAGGTGCTTCCCAAACCATAATTTCATCCAGTATTCTTTCTGATGTTAAAAAGAGAGAGACTGGAAAGTTTGTTGTTCTTCAGAGTGTTGCAGGATGTAAAACTGTACCTCTAATAGACATTAATTTCAGATCCACCATTACACCAAGTTTATGCACTGTGGGTGTTAGTACACAGTTGCCCATCCCAGGTGTGGATGTTATATTGGGTAATGATGTGGCCATAAATCATGTTGTGGGTGAGATTGATCCCCGTTTGTGTAAACAGCCCGTTGCAGACCATGTTTATTCTGCCTGTGCTGAAGTTAGTTCTATGAATGAACCTGTTGTAGAAGATGGTTTTGTCCATTCTACCTGTGCTGATGTCAGTACTACTATAAATCCAGTTGTCAGTTCTGATGTTGTTACTCAAGCATTTGTGCCAGTAACCAGTACCCTTCAGTGGAGAAGTGGGATGTGGTTGTTCCAGATTCCTGTGTGGCCGATTTAGTTGTTGAGAGTAAGCCTGATACTATGACTCTGCTTTATTCCAATAAATTGGGAAAGGATGTCCATGTACCATTGTCTTGCCCGCTCACTACGAACGTTGTGCCAGGAGTTGAGAGAAACTTAAAAGCCACGACTCTGTATTCCAGCCAAGTGAATGGGTTAGGACAAGATGTCGGGTTGGCAGAAGTATTCCCGCTCACTCCAAGTTTAGAATCAGTTGTCGAGAGTAAGTCCGTTGTAGAGGCCCCGCCTCACCCTAGTCAAGGTGATATAATAGGGGAGGAGGTCAAACTACCTGTTACTTGCCCGCTCACTTCAGATTCCCTTCATTTAAGTGCTTTGAGTAGAACTGACCCTAAGATTTCAGAGAGAAGCAAGGAGACAGTCTGTACTGTAGATCCAGTTTTGGAGAGTGTGGGAAAGCAGCCAGAGGATCAGCTTCTGTTGAGTAGATGGAGACCCATTGAGCCTCCCTCTTCAGTTGTCTGTGAGGATGTGACCCAGCTTGGTAGTGATATTATTGATTGTGAGCAGACAGTACTCCAAGCAGCTCCAGAAGTCATGGGAGGAAATTTTGGTAAAATCATTAAGAGTGGTAAAGTAGCATTTGGATCTAAGTTTCGACGTTGTGATTCTTATTCTATGTGGAGTAAGTATTTCTCATTGTGTACATTGAGTCAGAGTGTGTGTAGGATGTTGAACTCTACTTTTATTCTGCAGCCATTTTCTTGGGAAGTAATGGACTGTGGGACATCTTTGTCAAGCCTTGTGGTTGAGCAGAGAGAGTTTACTCAAGTAGGTTGTGCACCCAGCAGTTCTGAGGAAGTGGTGAGTTATGCTAGAGCAGTGTCTCTATATTCAGATCCAGTAAATTTTGATGCACGAGTGATAAAAGTGTATGTTCCACTTAAGTGTGGTGTTGACTTTCAGAGTCATATTGGTGTTGACCTTCAGAGTCATATTGTGGGTGAAGGATTAAATCATACTGGGGAGCAGATGTTTGAGGCTCCAGGTGTGCAATTCAAGTTGGAGGATAAGGTTATCCTACCTAGAGTTAATCATTGTGAAGGGTTTCAGATTGTCCTTGGGCGTTTCCCAGGTAATCTGCTGTTCATCTTCAAGATGTTAAGACCCTTAAACCTCTTGGTTGATTGGTTGTCATCAGACGTAAATCACTTGGGAAGTGATGGTGAGGGTTGTAAAGTTTTCGGCATGTTTTATTTAGTCTCTTGGAAGACTAGACGGTTGATGAAAGTGTGTGTTGTGTTCAAGTTCACCATCAGAGGGTGTGAACTTGTCTTGAGAGTTATGATTGAGATATGGTGCCTAGGCATATGCCTGTTTTCTTTCACTGATCGTTATGACAGAGTTATGAGGAAATTGATTTCTGTGTTCCTTATGGATCATCTGAGTCAGTTCGATCAGGTAGTCTTTGCACTTGTCTTGGGTTGTATTTCTTGGTTGGAAGGTCAAAGGTTTGATAAGTCGGTGTCTTGTGTTTCGGAAGGTTCTATGAATGGGAAAGTCTTATGCATAATTGTGAGGTTTAATGCTACTTTCTCTAATTTTAGTATCCATCGGGCGAGAGTATGTGTTCCACAGAGGATCCAGAGTGATGAGCAGATGTCTGTGTCAGAGCATACCCAGGAGAAGTCCCAAATCTACTCAACATACAGCCTGCTTCAATTAAGCAGTTCAGCTCCAGAAAAAGGGAGTAATGGAAAATCGAGGCTGTCTTGGGAAAATTCACCATGTGAAAAAGGAATCACATGGAAAAATGAAACTGATCTTGAAGAAATAGTAGAAACATATGAAAAACTAAATTGCCATGATAACTGTGTGAAAGCAGCTACCTTTATTGACAATTCTATTCATGCTACTAATGATACTGTTGTAGATAGGAGTGTGAAATATGATCTAAAACAAAGTGAAATAAATGAGATAGTACCTTGGAGAGATAAATTTGCATACTCCAGTGACACATATGTAGAACATAGTCATAAGACTGAAATTTCTGAGTTTCCTGTAAAACTATATTTGGAGTGTTTTCATATTTGTCCAGAAATGTGTTCTTATTACTTATACATGTTTGGTGTAATTAATACCATAAATCTCAAGTGTCATACATTTTACTTTGAAAAATGCCATTGATCTTCAATCTATTGCATTTTTTTTCTTGGTGGTGGAAGTGTTACGTACTCCTAGCAGAATACGTATATAAATTTAAAATAAATATTATTTTATTTTATCATTGCATGTATATGTACACACATTGTGTTTTGGGTAAATTGTCGTATGGTGTGGCAGCGTCAGTGGACAAGAGCGCGGTTGCCTTTGCACACGTCTATTTCCTGATTGATACGGGAAAGCTGGACCTGTTCAGTTGAGAGTTCCAGATGTCACTTTATTTTAGTTAGAAAATGTTTTATATACTGTAATTAAACAGGTGTCATTATACTTATATATTTTGTAAGCAACTATTATATGTAACTTGCAGTCTTATGTGTTTTGAGAACAAGTGGTTGTTCAATTAGTTTAAAATATTAAAAAGTCCTTAGTTTCCATCCCTCATCCTGGGATGAGGCAGACGGGAGGTGAGAATGTGGGTGGCGACAGAGCGAGAGTTCAGTAGCTGATACTGGACCAGGAGAGTAACATGTGGGAGATAAGTCTATTACATTCATTTTGTGCCATAATTACTATTATATATTACGTGCCATGACAATACTTTCATATATTCTACAAGTTAACTTTACCATCTGTGTTTTTATATTATACTGTTTTGAATATATTTATGTAATATTGTTTATCTATTCTTCAGTCCTAAGGAAGATTTTATTTTTGTGCTCATTACTTATCAAGGGGTTATACTGGTGATTCGCTATTGAGAACAGCAGTTGTGTCGTATCCCTAGACGTAATTAAAGTTGGCTGCTGTAGGATCACGAGCCGTAACGTACGATAGGTAACAACTGGCACCACAACCACTGTGACTACTGCCACCACAACCACTGTGACTACTGCCACCACAACCACTGTGACTACTGGCATCACAACCTGTGAGACTACTGCCACCACAACCTATGTGACTACTGGCACCACAACCTGTGAGACTACTGCCACCACAACCACTGTGACTACTGCCACCACAACCTGTGAGACTACTGCCACCACAACCACTGTGACTACTGGCATCACAACCTGTGAGACTACTGCCACCACAACCACTGTGACTACTGCCATCACAACCACTGTGACTACTGCCACCACAACCACTGTGACTACTGGCATCACAACCTGTGAGACTACTGCCACCACAACCTATGTGACTACTGGCACCACAACCTGTGAGACTACTGCCACCACAACCACTGTGACTACTGCCACCACAACCACTGTGACTACTGCCACCACAACCACTGTGACTACTGCCACCACAACCTATGTGATTACTGTAAGGACAACCTCTGTGACGTGTTGATAACCTTGTCTTCACAGTGTTGTTGATAATGTTAGTGTTGTGTGTGGGTCCACAGAGTGTCCAGCAGGAAGGTACGGTGCTGGCTGCTCCCACGACTGTGACTACTGTGAGAACAAGCACTGTGACTCTGTCAATGGATCCTGCACTCGTGGCTGCAAAAATGAAGTATTTTGTCGCGGTATGGTTTTTATTATTATTTATTTATTTATAAGGTTGTGAAGTTAACAGCCTTAGTACTTTTACCACAAAAGTTGACATTTTACTGATAAATATTCTCAGCTAATTACTTCTTAAATAGCCCTGAAATACTGTACATCTGAATTTTTAGAATATAATGTAATGTATTTTGCCTTGTGTTGTGAAGTGTTTAGTGTGTGTATTAGAACATTGCCTCCCCGACAGGTGCGATGCCTCTGGACCTGCCTCGCCTGCGGACTCCTCCGTCTCTCACTGACATACGAGACACCTCACTTGTTGTGAACTTCTCCACCTGGACGAGGGAGGAAGATGACGGGTCGGAGGCGGTTGGTATTGTGAGTTACCTGCTTCAGTACCGGAGGGAAGATGACCTCACTTGGACCACGGTGAAGACTGTGTCACACAGCTCAGTGTCAGGCCAGACTCAAGGTATAGTGAGATGTGTGTGTGTGTGTGTAACGCTTTTGGACCAATTTTCAATTTTATTTAATTTCTTTATTATGCACCCCATACCCATCCCGTTGGCGATGGCGAACAGGGTTACAGAGGCACATCATGGGTTCAGGAACTGAACCCCATAGTTCGTTTAGCTAAGCAAGTAACAATCTTGTGAAGCTAGTTTCGCAATTGTTAATATTACATACACATGTATGTATATATACATAACAATACTATAATATTTTTGTCACAAGTAATTAACAAGATACTTACAAAAGTCACTATACAAGGCACTTTACAGCTATGGTGAGTCACACAGTTACTAGTCTTGCTCCACACCCACCCAACTGGGCGGCAGCTTTACAGTCATGTGCTCCACACCCACCCAACTGGGCGGCAGCTTTACAGTTATGTGCAGGCTGCACCTACAGTAAGCATATTGTGGATACTTCGCTAAGATTCCTGGCAGTACATCATTATGAATAAAGTACTTACACATTTCTTGGACACCATTGATGATATTATCTCTGAATTTCGCGATGTTTTCACATTCCATTATATAATAACGCAAAGTATGCAAAAAGTTGACAGAGCTTACATTTAGTCAAATCTACATCAGCAGATGTTACAAACTCCCAGAGGTACTTATAGCCGAGCCTAAGCCTAGCAGTGGTAACATCTAGAAATCTGCTGACCTTACTCGATGACCCATAGACGTGCTGTTATTTCTGCATATTGGAATGATGATGGATGGAGTAAAAGTGTGTGAATTCCACTTTGCCTCAAGTGTACGAGATTTTGTTGATGTTCCCGGAATATTACTGCCCTCAGGCTGCTCAAAGGCAGTCCAAGAAGGTAATCAATTCCCTCTTTACGAGCAAACGTTTTGGCTAACTCATCAGTTCTATCAAGCATTTGGAGACTTAATATGGGAAGTAGTTCACAGGAGACAAACTCTGACTCCATCATTGATTATTTCATTATATCTGTGTCTAGCTTCAGATACAAGCACGTCATAGTTATGCCTTGGGGAGCTGAGTGCAGTTTAGGATGACAAGTAGTCACTTACAATTAGCGTGTCAACTTTGGATTCATATACTCGTTCGAGGATTATGGCAACCAATTCTGCTTGAAGAGCACGCAAGGTATAGTGAACTCTGTGTGTGTTATAGTTTTGAACTACTCTGAAGACTGCGTTATTCAGCTGTGTCAAGCCAGACTCAAGATATAGTGAACTGTGTGTGTGTATTTACCTAAGTGTAATTACCTAAATGTAGTTACAGGATGAGAGCAACGCTCGTGGTGTCCCGTCCTCTTAGTACTCTTTGTTGTTTAATTCTTTGATATTACTAACGGTCTTGGCCTTCACCACCTTCTCACTTAGCTTGTTCCAACCGTTTACTACTCTGTTAGAAAGTTTCCTTTTGCAAACTTTTTTTCGACACCTTTGTTTCTATAGCTTGAATCTGTGTCCTCTTGTTCCTGACGTTGCTGATTTTAGGAATTCCTCTTTGTCACTTTGGTCGATTCCTGTTAATATTTTGTATGTGGTGATCATATCACCTCCTTTTCTTCTATCGTCTTGTTTTGACATGTTTAATGTCTGTAGTCTCTCCTCGTAACTCTTAGTTTTTCAGTTCCGGAAGCCATTTTGTAGCATGCCTATGCAACTTTTCCAGTTTATTGCTGTGCTTCTTGAGATTTGGACACCATACAAATGTTGCATATTCCAATTTGGGTCTCACAAATGTTATGAACAGTCACTTTACTATTTCACCATCCATATAATTAAAAGTAAGTTTAAAATTAGAAAGCGACGCATACGCTCCTCTCACTGTTCTTTTTATGTTCCTCTGGCGACAGCTTACTATCCAATCCAAAACCACCCCCAGGTCTTGTTCTTTATTAGAGTTCTTTAATTCCTTTCCACATAATTTGTAAGATGTATGTGGTCTATTTTCTCAGATTCCACATTCCATAACATGGCATTTATTTACTTTGCCACTTTGCGCTCCAAGCACTTATTTTATCCAGATTAAAGGTCATTACAATCACCTGCGCCTCCTATCTTCCCCAGTATCTTAGCATCATCCACAGACATGTTCAAGTAATTCTGTATTCCTTCTGGTAGATCGTTTATGTAGACGATGAACATTACTGGTGCAAGAACTGTCTGCCAGTTAGAAACAGGTAGAAAGTTTTTCATCCATGTCAAAAGTCTCCGTCACTCCTCCAGCATGTTCCAGTTTCTAGAACACCCTCTTGTGTGGGACCGTGCGTGCGTGTGTGTACTCACCTAGTTGTGTTTGCGGGGGTTGAGCTCTGGCTCTTTGGTCCCGCCTCTCAACCGTCAATCAACAGGTGTACAGATTCCTGACCCTATCGGGCTCTATCATATCTACACTTGAAACTGTGTATGGAGTCAGCCTCCACCACATCACCCCCTAATGCATTCCATTTGTCAACCACTCTGACACTAAAAAAGTTCTTTCTAATATCTCTGTGGCTCATTTGGGCACTCAGTTTCCACCTGTGTCCCCTTGTGCATGTTCCACTTGTGTTAAATAGACTGTCTTTATCTACCCTATCAATTCCCTTCAGAATCTTGAATGTGGTGATCATGTCCCCCCTAACTCTTCTGTCTTCCAGCGAAGTGAGGTTTAATTCCCGTAGTCTCTCCTCGTAGCTCATACCTCTCAGCTCGGGTACTAGTCTGGTGGCAAACCTTTGAACCTTTTCCAGTTTAGTCTTATCCTTGACTAGATATGGACTCCATGCTGGGGCTGCATACTCCAGGATTGGCCTGACATATGTGGTATACAAAGTTCTGAATGATTCTTTACACAAGTTTCTGAATGCCGTTCGTATGTTGGCCAGCCTGGCATATGCCGCTGATGTTATCCGCTTGATATGCGCTGCAGGAGACAGGTCTGGCGTGATATCAACCCCCAAGTTTTTTTCCTTCTCTGACTCCTGAAGAATTTCCTCTACCAGATGATACCTTGTATCTGGTCTCCTGCTCCCTACACCTATCTTCATTACATTACATTTGGTTGGGTTAAACTCTAACAACCATTTGTTCGACCATTCCTTCAGCTTGTCTAGGTCTTCTTGAAGCCTCAAACAATCCTCTTCTGTTTTAATCCTTCTCATAATTTTAGCATCGTCCGCAAACATTGAGAGAAATGAATCGATTCCCTCCGGGAGATCATTTACATATATCAGAAACAAGATAGGACCGAGTACAGAGCCCTGTGGGACTCCACTGGTAACTTCACGCCAATCGGAGGTCTCACCCCTCACCGTAACTCTCTGCTTCCTATTGCTTAGATACTCCCTTATCCACTGGAGCACCTTACCAGCTACACTTGCCTGTCTCTCCAGCTTATGTACCAGCCTCTTATGCGGTACTGTGTCAAAGGCTTTCCGACAATCCAAGAAAATGCAGTCCGCCCAGCCCTTTCTTTCTTGCTTAATCTTTGTCACCTGATCGTAGAATACTATCAAGCCTGTAAGGCAAGATTTACCCTCCCTGAACCCATGTTGGCAATTTGTCACGAAGTCCCTTCTCTCCAGATGTGTTACCAGGTTTTTTCTCACGATCTTCTCCATCACCTTGCATGGTATACAAGTCAAGGACACTGGCCTGTAGTTCAGTGCCTCTTGCCTGTCGCCCTTTTTGTATATTGGGACCACATTCGCCGTCTTCCATATTTCTGGTAGGTCTCCCATCTCCAGTGACTTACTATACACTATGGAGAGTGGCAAGCAAAGTGCCTCTGCACACTCTTTCAGTATCCAAGGTGAGATCCCATCTGGACTAACAGCCTTTCTAACATCCAGATCCAGCAGGTGTCTCTTGACCTCCTCTCTCGTAATTTCGAACTTTTCCAAGGCCGCCTGGTTTACCTCTCTTTCTCCTAGCACAGTGACCTCACCTTGTTCTATTGTGAAGACCTACTGGAATGTCTTGTTGAGTTCTTCACACACCTCTTTGTCATTCTCTGTATACCTGTCCTCGCCTGTTCTAAGTTTCAATACCTGTTCTTTCACTGTTGTTTTCCTTCTGATGTGACTGTGGAGTAGCTTTGGTTCGGTCTTGGCTTTGTTTGCTATATCATTTTCAAAACTTTTCTCTGCTTCTCTTCTCACCCTGACGTACTCATTCCTGGTTCTCTGGTATCTCTTTCTGCTTTCTGGTGTTCTGTTATTCCGGAAGTTCCTTCACGCCCTTTTGTTCAGTTTCTTCGCTTCCATACATGCCCTATTATACCATAGATTCTTTTGTTGCTTCTCGGATTTTTCCCTTTGGGCCGGGATGAACCTCTTTACTGCCTCCTGACACTTTTGGGTAACATAGTCCATCATTCCCTGTACAGACTTATCTCTGAGGTCTGTGTCCCAAGGTATTTCACTTAGGAAACTTCCCATCTGTTCATAATTCCCCTTTCGGTATGCCAGCCTTTTGAATCCTAGTTCTTTTTTGGGGGAGATAATTTCTTGCTCTACCAGGTACTCAAAGTTCAATACACTGTGGTCACTCATTCCCAAGGGCGCTTCCATCTTAACTTCCCTTATATCCCACTCATATATCTTATATCCCACTCCTGGGAGGTGACCTGGGGGGTGGCCTGGGAGGTGACCTGGGATGTGACCTGGGAGGTGAGACTACCTGAGAGGCTAGTTCGGTGTCGTGCTTGCCATCTATTCTTGTGGGCTATTTGCTCATCTTTCGTCATAAACCTCTCTATAAACACATTGTAATGGATTTCACTTCCTCTGAGTAAATGCTTGTTCCTCATTATGTACTCCACAGCCTCTTCATTGGAGAATTGCACCAGAACAGGTCTATTCTTGTTACAATTGTATGGTCCAACCCGGCGGCTGATATCCACCTCGTGTTCTGCCATTCCTGCTCCAATACATCTCAATATCTCATGCAATTCATATTTTTCCATCTCTATTCTCTCTTGTCTTGTTGGTGCCCCAGATTCGAATAATCCATGTATTATAATAGACCGTCTCCTCAGTAATTCATTGTCATGCTGGTAGCCTGTCCCCTGGGGGTTCTCCATCCCAACCGCAGTCACTAACCCATCCCCCACTAATCCTCTGTCTTTAGCCATGCTGTTAATCCTTCCTAATTCGTTTGTGATCCGAGCACATTCCCTCTCCCAGTCCTCTCTTCCCTTCCTAATCTCTTCCTGAATATAGAGCATGAGTTCTTGTTTCTGCCTCTCTACCGCATCCTGTATTTGCTGAAATAACTCGCTTTTAATCCCTTGGATTAGATCCTCTATCCAATCGCTCCTTCTCTCTACAAATTTCCCTATTAATTTGTCTATAAATCTGTCCTCCTCATCCCTGCTGGTGATTGACCTTGAATCCCTTCCTGATCTTGTCATTGCTGTAACAACCTAGCCAAAAAGGCGCTTCTCAATACCTTGCACAATCTGCAGCACAAACAGGCGAGAAAGTACTCCACGTGGCTGGTCAAGATGTGAGGTCGCTGCGTCCCGCGTCACAGCTGGTGAGGTCACTAGTAAGGCACCGGCTCCACAATTTCACAATACCACGATGTACTCAACACTTATTTTCAGTGGTGCTGTTTCTACGGTTTTTCTTCACTTGTGGTTTGAGTGAACTTCCTAGTTATTCAATCACTCATATACACTCATATACGCATATACACTGATTATTCCCCCCAATTCACTAGCTACACAAGAGCTTCCCAGACCCTTCTGACCTCCGTGGCTGTCTGACCTCAACGCACACGCACGCGTGTGTGTGTGTGTGTGGAAAAAATAGTAGTTAATCGACTTGAGAATGGTTTAGGACGGACCGAAACGTCGTCGTCCCTTCACTTTCTAGTGTGTGGTTAGGTTAACATATTTCAGCCACGTTATTGTGACTCCTCGTCTGCAGTTAGTAGTTAGTAACAGTTGAGAGGCAGGCCGAAAGAGCAGAGCTCAACCCCCGCAAGCACAACTAGGTGAATATACACACAGGTCAGAGGAGGTCTACTAGAGAGGAGACCAGTATATCTCTACTAGAGATATACTAGAGAGGAGGTCAAGAGACACCTGCTGGATCTGGATGTTAGAAAGGCTGTTGGTCCAGATGGGATCTCACCATGGGTACTGAAAGAGTGTGCAGAGGCACTTTGCTTGCCACTCTCCATAGTGTATAGTAAGTCACTGGAGACGGGAGACCTACCAGAAATATGGAAGACGGCGAATGTGGTCCCAATATACAAAAAGGGCGACAGGCAAGAGGCACTGAACTACAGGCCAGTGTCCTTGACTTGTATACCATGCAAGGTGATGGAGAAGATCGTGAGAAAAAACCTGGTAACACATCTGGAGAGAAGGGACTTCGTGACAAATCGCCAACATGGGTTCAGGGAGGGTAAATCTTGCCTTACAGGCTTGATAGAATTCTACGATCAGGTGACAAAGTGGGGGGAGGGTTCCCTAGGTGGGCACCTTGTAGGGGACTGGCAGGAGTTGGGGCAGGTAGGACATCTATTGGGTGGAGGGTGGGGGTGGTGTTTCTCTCTCTGTGTCTGTTGAACTGCTTGTGGAGGGTTCCCCACTCCCCTCTGGGATTGTAAGGCTCGGGGTTGTGGCTCCATAATTCCTTTCTTTCTCCCTGCGCTCCCTCCTCGCGGCTGCTGTCCTCATTCTGCTTTTTTTAACTTCGGTACATTTGCTACTCCACCCTTCCTTGCTAATAAGACCTCTTTTGTTCTCTCGCTCGTGAATACCACCTTTATTAATCGGTCTCTGTCCTTGTTGTACCATCCGAGCCTGAAAACCTTTTCAATATTCTGTTCAGTCCTCTCCATCTTTACCCCTTTAAGGATTTCATTAACTTCATTTTTGTCCTTGTCTCTCCACTCCGCTGGACTGATCCTTGTTTGCTCCTTAATGCCTACTATTACTATACTACTCTTTTTTGTTCTACTGGTAGTTACCTACTTGTGATAACCTACTGGTATTTACCTACATGTAGTTGCCTACTTGTGATTACTACTGGTTCTACCATGGACTAGTTAAGTGACACGAACTTACTAGTTTACACCATAATAACTGACACGAACTTACTAGTTTACACCATAATATTTGACACGAACACTAGTTTACAGCATAATATTTGACACAAACACTAGTTTACAGCATAATATTTGACATAAACACTTGTTTACAACATAATATTTGACACGAACACTAGTTTACAACATTTGACACGAACACTAGTTTACAACATAATATTTGACACGAACACTAGTTTACAACATAATATTTGACACGAACACTAGTTTACAACATAATATTTGACACGAACACTAGTTTACAACATAATATTTGACACGAACACTAGTTTACAACATAATATTTGACACGAAATTGCTAGTTTACATCATAATATCTGACACGAACACTAGTTTACAGCATAATATCTGACACGAAATTACTAGTTTACAGCATAATGACACAAACACTAGTTTACAGCATAATATCTGACACATTCTAGTTTACAGCATATCTGACACATTCTAGTTTACAGCATATCTGACACATTCTAGTTTACAGCATAATATCTGACACGAACTTACAAGTTTACAGCATAATATCTGACACAAACACTAGTTTACAGCATATCTGACACGAACACCAGTTTACAGCATAATATCTGACACAGACACTAGTTTACAGCATAATATCTGACACGAACACCAGTTTACAGCATAATATCTGACACAAACACTAGTTTACAGCATAATATCTGACACGAACACTAGTTTACAGCATAATATCTGACACGAACACTAGTTTACAGCATAATATCTGACACAAACACTAGTTTACAGTATGGCAAGTTGTTGCATTACTACGTTAGTCATCCTCCTACAAACAGCATCCTGGACTGACACGGGCGAGTAACTCAGGCTGGAGCTTCACCGCCATAGTCCTCTCACTGCCCTCCGAATGTGGCGTTGCTTCCACGTTGATTCAACGTTGTCAGTGTTAATTTAATGTTGATAATGTTTATTCTGCGTTAGGGTGGAGTTGCTCTTGGATGTTGTGCCCACTGGGGCAGCTCCTGGCACGCCCTGGGCAGCTCTTGGCACCCGCTGGGCAGCTCGTGGCACCCACTGGGGCAGCTCCTGGCACGCCCTGGGCAGCTCTTGGCACGCCCTGGGCAGCTCGTGGCACGCCCTGGGCATCTTGTGACCTACGTGTACGCCTTCACTACCCCTCACCCTCCTTCTGACACCTCCAGTGTAGCTGGTTGTAGTCCAAGTTACCAGTACTGTTGGTAGTTCAGGTTACCAGTACTAAGTGAGAGTACTGGTGGTAGTCCAGGTTACCAGTACTGGTGGTAGTCCAGGTTACCAGTACTGGTGGTAGTCCAGGTTACCAGTACTGGTGGTAGTCCAGGTTACCAGTACTGGTGGTAGTTAGGGTTACCAGTACTGGTGGTAGTCCAGGTTACCAGTACTGGTGGTAGTCCAGGTTACCAGTACTGGTGGTAGTTAAGGTTACCAGTACTGGTGGTAGTCCAGGTTACCAGTACTGGTGGTGGTCCAGGTTACCAGTACTGGTGGTAGTCCAGGTTACCAGTACTGGTAGTAGTCCAGGTTACCAGTACAGGGTGAGAGTACAGGTGGTGCTACAGATGGTACAGGAAATACAGGTGGTGCTACAGATGGTACAGGAAGTACAGGTGGTGCTACAGATGGTACAGGAAGTACAGGTGGTGCTACAGATGGTACAGGAAGTACAGGTGGTGCTACAGATGGTACAGGAAGTACAGGTGGTGCTACAGATGGTACAGGAAATACAGGTGGTGCTACAGATGGTACAGGAAGTACAGGTGGTGCTACAGATGGTACAGGAAATACAGGTGGTGCTACAGATGGTACAGGAAGTACAGGTGGTGCTACAGATGGTACAGGAAGTACAGGTGGTGCTACAGATGGTACAGGAAGTACAGGTGGTGCTACAGATGGTACAGGAAGTACAGGTGGTGCTACAGATGGTACAGGAAGTACAGGTGGTGCTACAGATGGTACAGGAAGTACAGGTGGTGCTACAGATGGTACAGGAAGTACAGGTGGTGCTACAGATGGTACAGGAAGTACAGGTGGTGCTACAGATGGTACAGGAAGTACAGGTGGTGCTACAGAAGGTACAGGATGTACAGGTGGTGCTACAGATGGTACAGGAAGTACAGGTGGTGCTACAGATGGTACAGGAAGTACAGGTGGTGCTACAGATGGTTCAACAATCATTAGGTAACACTTGTAACAATGTTCTCTCCACAGTGACGGTAGAACACCTGAGTCCAGGTTACCAGTACAGGGTGAGGGTACAGGTGGTGCTACAGATGGTTCAACAATCACTAGGTAACACTTGTAACAATGTTCTCTCCACAGTGACGGTAGAACACCTGAGTCCAGGTTACCAGTATACGCTGAGGGTGTTGGTCAATACTTCACGCGGCGCTGCAGACGGCTCAACCAACACGAGGGTTCGCAATGTCACATTTGTTACTCACTGTTCTGGTAAGGTTTTTAGTATTGTCTTATATCATATGTCTGTGATGAAAGTGACCATGAAAGTCATTCATTTTGTACTTGGAACAATGAATTATATGGTGGGATATGCGTATAGAATGGTATATGCTAATATAATGTTAAACCACCTGCGATATATGTCATTTGTGATGTGGTTCTATCCTTCAGCCCCAAGACTTGATGATCTTCAAGTATCCAACATCACCGACCAGTCTGCTGTTGTCACCTGGGTAAGTTAAGGCTTTAAAACATTGGAATAATATGGGACTGGGACGGGATGTTGTGGGTAAGTATGCGGATGTTCTAGGTGTTGGTGGAGATATTATGGGTAAGGGGGGGATGTTATTGGGCTGGGTGAGGTTGTTATGGGTACTTCTGTACTTCCCTTTTTATTTAAATTTTCCTCCATCTCTTCTCCCTCTCTCTTCTTCACTTCCATTCCTCATCCTCACTCCTTAGGTTCAGTCATGTCAGAAAGGTCATGTTGTCACCTCACTACCAGTGAATTGTGTGCCACGTTGCCGCCAATGAGTCATTGTTTTGAAGGTATTATAATGGGAAATTCTTTTTATGTCTCAATAGGTGAGTTAGGGAGGGAGGGGGAGCAGCTGCTGAGTTGGGGGAGGGGTGGGGGGCAGCTGCTGAGTTAGGGAGAGTGGGGGGGGGGCAGATGCTGAGTTAGGGAGAGTGGGGGGGGGCAGATGCTGAGTTAGGGAGGGTGTAACAAACTAGGTTGTTGTAAGGAATTATTCAGTATAGTTTCTCATAGACATGGGGGTTTTTAAAGTTTGGAGTCAGTTGGCACTCGACTTGACGCAAGTAGAAAAAGGTCATCTCTCCTGGGATTAGCGGTTAAGATTACAAAATGGCCAGCGCCTTGTCTTGAAGCAACGTATAATGAATTATTTTACAGAATTCAGTAATTTAAAGAAATTCAAGTCTTCATTCAAATTGTATTCAATTGTATTCCTGTTCAAGTTTCAAGAGTATTCCCAATTGTCGGAATACTGAGTAAGCCACCGTCAGTGACGTCACTAGCAGAGGACTAGCCTCTGACGCGGATCAATTTTGGCGACCCTGGGTCAAGGGTCACCAAAACCTTCCAAGTTTAGTAATTCTCAAAGGTCAAATAGCCATTTAGTAATTGGAAATAGCCTTTCCCTAAGATGCCTGTGCAATTACCTTCAGTTTAAAAGAGTTCAACCATCTGGGTTGTTCAGTGCAACAGAGATTAGTTGTTCAATTTAAACCCTGCTTAGTAATCTTGGTAAACCTGGCATAGGACAACATTTAGCTGTTGTTTAGACTTTCCATAAATAAATAATTAGCTTGTTATTTGTATTTTATTATTTCCATTTTTGAATGTGGTCATGTTCTTGTCACGTGGTCTCCACGAGTCTGAAGTTTTAGTTGGGCCGCAAGCCTAACAAAGTTTAAGAGTTCATTTATCCCTTTGTTTGCTATAATTCCCACACTTAACATAGATTCATCCCTCCTTTTCCAAGTAATTTGGGGATCAAGCCCCAAGGTTTTAATGATTGATTAATCGGCCCAGACCCCGATTAATTGACGCTTCTGGTTAATGGTCTGGTGGTGGCAGCAGAAGGAGATTCTTGAGTTTGCTAGGAGTCTAGTACGGCGTCACGAGGCTGTAGAATCTTAGCCGATCGAACGGCTAAGACCACGTGGCGTGGGATTTGGCTCGAGTAGCTCTAGGGGTCCCTTGGTATAAAGTAGAAGAAAATAGAATGTGGGCAGGGGTAAGGGAGAAGGTAGTGACAATTCTATAGCAGCCCCATAGCAGCTGCCTAATTTCCAGGTACCTATTTACTGCTAGGTAACAGGGGCATCAGGGTTGAAGAAACTCTGCACATTGTTTCTCGCCGGGAACGTGGAGTGAGCCGGGTGGGGCTGTCATGCGATGGGAGTAAGGATGTTATGAGCTTGAGTGGGTGTGGGTAATGTGTTGTGGACTGTTACAGTGGGAAGGTAATGTGTTGTGGACTGTTACAGTGGGAAGGTAATGTGTTGTGGACTGTTACAGTGGGAGGGTAATAGTAATGTGTTGTGGACTGTTACAGTGGGAGGGTAATGTGTTGTGGACTGTTACAGTGGGAGGGTAATGTGTTGTGGACTGTTACAGTGGGAGGGTAATGTGTTGTGGACTGTTACAGTGGGAGGGTAATGTGTTGTGGACTGTTACAGTGGGAGGGTAATGTGTTGTGGACTGTTACAGTGGGAGGGTAATGTGTTGTGGACTGTTACAGTGGGAGGGTAATGTGTTGTGGACTGTTACAGTGGGAGGGTAATAGTAATGTGTTGTGGACTGTTACAGTGGGAGGGTAATGTGTTGTGGACTGTTACAGTGGGAGGGTAATAGTAATGTGTTGTGGACTGTTACAGTGGGAGGGTAATAGTAATGTGTTGTGGACTGTTACAGTGGGAGGGTAATGTGTTGTGGATTGTTACAGTGGGAGGGGTAAGGTGTTGTGGACTGTTACAGTGGGAGGGTAATGTGTTGTGGACTGTTACAGTGGGAGGGTAATGTGTTGTGGACTATTACAGTGGGAGGGTAATGTGTTGTGGACTGTTACAGTGGGAGGGTAATAGTAATGTGTTGTGGACTGTTACAGTGGGAGGGTAATGTGTTGTGGACTGTTACAGTGGGAGGGTAATAGTAATGTGTTGTGGACTGTTACAGTGGGAGGGTAATGTGTTGTGGACTGTTACAGTGGGAGGGTAATAGTAATGTGTTGTGGACTGTTACAGTGGGAGGGTAATAGTAATGTGTTGTGGATTGTTACAGTGGGAGGGTAATGTGTTGTGGACTGTTACAGTGGGAGGGTAATAGTAATGTGTTGTGGATTGTTACAGTGGGAGGGTAATGTGTTGTGGACTGTTACAGTGGGAGGGTAATGTGTTGTGGACTGTTACAGTGGGAGGGTAATGTGTTGTGGACTATTACAGTGGGAGGGTAATGTGTTGTGAACTGTTACAGTGGGAGGGTAATGTGTTGTGGACTATTACAGTGGGAGGGTAATGTGTTGTGAACTGTTACAGTGGGAGGGTAATGTGTTGTGGACTATTACAGTGGGAGGGTAATGTGTTGTGAACTGTTACAGTGGGAGGGTAATGTGTTGTGGACTATTACAGTGGGAGGGTAATGTGTTGTGAACTGTTACAGTGGGAGGGTAATGTGTTGTGGACTGTTAAAGTGGGAAGGTAATGTGTTGTGGACTGTTACAGTGGGAGGGTAATGTGTTGTGGACTGTTACAGTGGGAGGGTAATAGTAATGTGTTGTGGACTGTTACAGTGGGAGGGTAATGTGTTGTGGACTGTTACAGTGGGAGGGTAATAGTAATGTGTTGTGGACTGTTACAGTGGGAGGGTAATAGTAATGTGTTGTGGACTGTTACAGTGGGAGGGTAATGTGTTGTGGACTGTTACAGTGGGAGGGTAATGTGTTGTGGACTGTTACAGTGGGAGGGTAATGTGTTGTGGACTGTTACAGTGGGAGGGTAATAGTAATGTGTTGTGGACTGTTACAGTGGGAGGGTAATAGTAATGTGTTGTGGACTGTTACAGTGGGAGGGTAATGTGTTGTGGACTGTTACAGTGGGAGGGTAATGTGTTGTGGACTGTTACAGTGGGAGGGTAATGTGTTGTGGACTGTTACAGTGGGAGGGTAATGTGTTGTGGACTGTTACAGTGGGAGGGTAATAGTAATGTGTTGTGAACTGTTACAGTGGGAGGGTAATAGTATTGTGTTGTGGACTGTTACAGTGGGAGGGTAATGTGTTGTGGACTGTTACAGTGGGAGGGTAATGTGTTGTGGACTGTTACAGTGGGAGGGTAATGTGTTGTGGACTGTTACAGTGGGAGGGTAATGTGTTGTGGACTGTTACAGTGGGAGGGTAATGTGTTGTGGACTATTACAGTGGGAGGGTAATGTGTTGTGGACTGTTACAGTGGGAGGGTAATAGTAATGTGTTGTGGACTGTTACAGTGGGAGGGTAATGTGTTGTGGACTGTTACAGTGGGAGGGTAATAGTAATGTGTTGTGGACTGTTACAGTGGGAGGGTAATGTGTTGTGGACTGTTACAGTGGGAGGGTAATAGTAATGTGTTGTGGACTGTTACAGTGGGAGGGTAATAGTAATGTGTTGTGGATTGTTACAGTGGGAGGGTAATGTGTTGTGGACTGTTACAGTGGGAGGGTAATAGTAATGTGTTGTGGATTGTTACAGTGGGAGGGTAATGTGTTGTGGACTGTTACAGTGGGAGGGTAATGTGTTGTGGACTGTTACAGTGGGAGGGTAATGTGTTGTGGACTATTACAGTGGGAGGGTAATGTGTTGTGAACTGTTACAGTGGGAGGGTAATGTGTTGTGGACTATTACAGTGGGAGGGTAATGTGTTGTGAACTGTTACAGTGGGAGGGTAATGTGTTGTGGACTATTACAGTGGGAGGGTAATGTGTTGTGAACTGTTACAGTGGGAGGGTAATGTGTTGTGGACTATTACAGTGGGAGGGTAATGTGTTGTGAACTGTTACAGTGGGAGGGTAATGTGTTGTGGACTGTTACAGTGGGAGGGTAATGTGTTGTGGACTGTTAAAGTGGGAAGGTAATGTGTTGTGGACTGTTACAGTGGGAGGGTAATGTGTTGTGGACTGTTACAGTGGGAGGGTAATGTGTTGTGAACTGTTACAGTGGGAGGGTAATGTGTTGTGGACTGTTAAAGTGGGAAGGTAATGTGTTGTGGACTGTTACAGTGGGAGGGTAATGTGTTGTGGACTGTTACAGTGGGAGGGTAATAGTAATGTGTTGTGGACTGTTACAGTGGGAGGGTAATGTGTTGTGGACTGTTACAGTGGGAGGGTAATAGTAATGTGTTGTGGACTGTTACAGTGGGAGGGTAATAGTAATGTGTTGTGGACTGTTACAGTGGGAGGGTAATGTGTTGTGGACTGTTACAGTGGGAGGGTAATGTGTTGTGGACTGTTACAGTGGGAGGGTAATAGTAATGTGTTGTGGACTGTTACAGTGGGAGGGTAATGTGTTGTGGACTGTTACAGTGGGAGGGTAATGTGTTGTGGACTGTTACAGTGGGAGGGTAATGTGTTGTGGACTGTTACAGTGGGAGGGTAATGTGTTGTGGACTGTTACAGTGGGAGGGTAATAGTAATGTGTTGTGAACTGTTACAGTGGGAGGGTAATAGTATTGTGTTGTGGACTGTTACAGTGGGAGGGTAATGTGTTGTGGACTGTTACAGTGGGAGGGTAATGTGTTGTGGACTGTTACAGTGGGAGGGTAATGTGTTGTGGACTGTTACAGTGGGAGGGTAATGTGTTGTGGACTGTTACAGTGGGAGGGTAATAGTATTGTGTTGTGGACTGTTACAGTGGGAGGGTAATAGTATTGTGTTGTGGACTGTTACAGTGGGAGGGTAATAGTATTGTGTTGTGGACTGTTACAGTGGTAAGGTAATAGTATTGTGTTGTGGACTGTTACAGAATGATACAGCTGGGAACCATGAGCGGTGTGCAACACAGTATGAGGTGGTGCTGACGCCGACCACCGCGCCTGTAAGCACAACATTAAAGACAACAGGACAGTCACTCCTCCTCAGTGACCTGGCGCCGGATACACCTTATAACGTTACCATCACCGCCTCACACAATGGAACTTCAGTGATGAACACATCAGCTTTTCGTACTCTTTACAAGGGTAACATTATTGTTCAATTTCTTTGTTCTTTTATAACAATTTAGGCTCGTTTTCTCGCGCATGTTTATTGCTCCGCTTGTAAAGTGATCACTCATCACCGTGGTGTAAAGTGATCACTCATCACTAGTGTAAAGTGATCACCCAAAACTATACTGTAAAGTGAACACCCATCACTGTAATGGTATAAAGTAAAGCCCGTGTATTTGTTATAAACCTAAACAATGCTTGTGGTGTTAGACTCCCCACTCTCAATATTCAGCACACTTCGCCTCAACTAAATGAGTGAAAAGGTCTCGGAATATGGAAAATCTAAGGTATAACTACCTGTTTATTTGGTGAAATTATTCCTAACTCCATGTAGATGCTCCTAGGTTAAGCTGGTTAAGTTTAAGGTACATGAAACTCGATAATGTTGGTACACTAGACTTCAGCTAAATGCTGCTAAATATAAATAAGCTTAAGCTTATTAAATGACATAAAATTTAGTAACATTCTTACACTATGTTGAAGCTAAATGCGGTTATGTTAAAGTGATCATCCGTGAATCAACGTGAACTTCATCCAAACTTTAAAGTCACTATGGACTATCAATATAAAAATCTCACTCGACTCGACAAAGTTAAAAGTAACTAGGACTGGGCAACTTAGTCATTAGAAGTAACAAACTTGAAGTAACAGCAGCTCAATCAAAAACTAAGTCCCCAAAAAGGACTGGGAAAGTAAGTGTTCACTGAAAAATGCAAATGAAAAATGCACTGAAAAAGTCCCAAATGCAACCTGGGATTCATTTGAATCCCCGGTTGCATTATTTTATGAGCATGTCGTGGCCGAGTTGGTTAGGGTGTACGCTTGGGAGTACCCAGTGTCCAGGTTCGAACCCTCATTATGCCTTTTATTGATTTTCTCATTGACACCACTCGTTAATGTGATTTCTCTATGCATAATTATAGTCACCTGACACCAAAAATATACAAGTCACAAGAAATGAAATTCATTGATAATATTCCACAATTAATGTAAATACTTACCTTACCTCTGCATTACATGAAAAACATATTACATATATATATATATATATATATATATATATATATATATATATATATATATATATATATATATATATATATATATATATATTAGTATATTTTGGTAGCAGTCTTTCCTGTTGGTAGCAGTCTTTCCTGTAGACATATATTATTAAATATGACCGAAAAAGTAAGATTAATAATTCTAACACGAATTTTCTCAATCTTTCGTACATTACGCTTCACTGTTGGAGGTAAATCAAAAATCAATTCTCCAAAATTCATTTTTATTTCTAGTCTGACGCGACACGGGCGCGTTTCGTAAAACTTATTACATTTTCAAAGACTTTAGTTCACAAATACACAACTGAATAGAACTTACGTATCTCCGATTTTATATCTACATTTGAGTGAGGTGGAAGGGGTGATGTGGCATTAACACAAGACTGAACAAAATGTGGTATTAATAGGGTATTAATTTCATCAACACAAGACAGAACAAGAGTATTAATAGGGTATTAATTTCATCAACACAAGACAGAACACGAAACAATGGATATTGAATAGAAGTGTTTGTAGAAAGCCTATTGGTCCATATTTCTTGATGCTTCTATATTGGAGCGGAGTCTTGAGGTGGGTAGAATATAGTTGTGCAATAATTGGCTGTTGATTGCTGGTGTTGACTTCTTGATGTGTAGTGCCTCGCAAACGTCAAGCCGCCTGCTATCGCTGTATCTATCGATGATTTCTGTGTTGTTTACTAGGATTTCTCTGGCGATGGTTTGGTTGTGGGAAGAGATTATATGTTCCTTAATGGAGCCCTGTTGCTTATGCATCGTTAAACGCCTAGAAAGAGATGTTGTTGTCTTGCCTATATACTGGGTTTTTTGGAGCTTACAGTCCCCAAGTGGGCATTTGAAGGCATAGACGACGTTAGTCTGTTTTAAAGCGTTCTGTTTTGTGTCTGGAGAGTTTCTCATGAGTAGGCTGGCCGTTTTTCTGGTTTTATAGTAAATCGTCAGTTGTATCCTCTGATTTTTGTCTGTAGGGATAACGTTTCTATTAACAATATCTTTCAGGACCCTTTCCTCCGTTTTATGAGCTGTGGAAAAGAAGTTCCTGTAAAATAGTCTAATAGGGGGTATAGGTGTTGTGTTAGTTGTCTCTTCAGAGGTTGCATGGCTTTTCACTTTCCTTCTTATGATGTCTTCGACGAAACCATTGGAGAAGCCGTTATTGACTAGGACCTGCCTTACCCTACAGAGTTCTTCGTCGACTTGCTTCCATTCTGAGCTGTGGCTGAGAGCACGGTCGACATATGCGTTAACAACACTCCTCTTGTACCTGTCTGGGCAGTCGCTGTTGGCATTTAGGCACATTCCTATGTTTGTTTCCTTAGTGTAGACTACAGTGTGGAAACCTCCGCCCTTTTCCATGACTGTTACATCTAGAAAGGGCAGCTTCCCATCCTTTTCCATCTCGTAAGTGAAACGCAGCACGGAACTCTGCTCAAATGCCTCCTTCAGCTCCTGCAGATGTCTGACATCAGGTACCTGTGTAAAAATGTCGTCAACATACCTGCAGTATATGGCCGGTTTTAAGTTCATGTCGACTAAGACTTTTTGCTCGATGGTACCCATGTAGAAGTTTGCAAACAGGACACCTAGGGGAGAACCCATGGCGACCCCATCTACTTGCTTATACATGTGCCCATCCGGGCTCAAGAAGGGTGCCTCTTTAGTACAAGCTTGGAGTAGTTTCCTCAGAATATTTTCTGGTATGTCAAGAGGAGTACAGGCTGGATCACGATACACTCTGTCGGCTATCATTCCGATTGTCTCGTCCACAGGTACGTTGGTAAACAGCGATTCTACGTCCAACGAGGCTCTTATCCCTGTGGCCCGTGTGCCCCGCAGTAAGTCAACAAATTCCTTTGGAGATTTCAGGCTGAAGGCGCAAGGAACATAAGGAGTCAGCAGGCCGTTGAGTCGCTTCGCCAGTCTGTACGTGGGTGTGGGTATCTGGCTAATGATTGGCCGAAGTGGGTTTCCAGGCTTGTGCGTCTTGACATTTCCATACGCATATCCAGGTTTATATTCCCCACCAGAATATAAACCTGGATATATATAAAACCAGAAAAACGGCCAGCCTACTCATGAGAAACTCTCCAGACACAAAACAGAACGCTTTTAAAGAGACTAACGTCGTCTATGCCTTCAAATGCCCACTTGGGGACTGTAAGCTCCAAAAAACCCAGTATATAGGCAAGACAACAACATCTCTTTCTAGGCGTTTAACGATGCATAAGCAACAGGGCTCCATTAAGGAACATATAATCTCTTCCCACAACCAAACCATCGCCAGAGAAATCCTAGTAAACAACACAGAAATCATCGATAGATACAGCGATAGCAGACGGCTTGACGTTTGCGAGGCACTACACATCAAGAAGTCAACACCAGCAATCAACAGCCAATTATTGCACAACTATATTCTACCCACCTCAAGACTCCGCTCCAATATAGAAGCATCAAGAAATATGGACCAATAGGCTTTCTACAAACACTTCTATTCAATATCCATTGTTTCGTGTTCTGTCTTGTGTTGATGAAATTAATACCCTATTAATACCACTTCTTGTTCTGTCTTGTGTTGATGAAATTAATACCCTATTAATGCCACATCTTGTTCTGTCTTGTGCTAATGCCACATCACCCCTTCCACCTCACTCAAATGTAGATATAAAATCGGAGATGCGTAAGTTCTATTCAGTTGTGTATTTGTGAACTAAAGTCTTTGAAAATGTAATAAGTTTTACGAAACGCGCTCGTGTCGCGTCAGAGACTAGAAATAAAAATGAATTTTGGAGAATTGATTTTTGATTTACCTCCAACAGTGAAAAGAAATGTACGAAAGATTGAGAAAATTCGTGTTAGAATTATTAATCTTACTTTTTCGGTCATATTTAATAATATATGTCTACAGGAAAGACTGCTACCAAAATATACTAATATATATATACTAATATATATATATATATATATATATATATATATATATATATATATATATATATATATATATATATATATATATATATATATATATATATATATATATATATATATGTCGTACCTAGTAGCCAGAACGCACTTCTCAGCCTACTATGCAAGGCCCGATTTGCCTAATAAGCCAAGTTTTCATGAATTAAGTGTTTTTCGACTACCTAACCTACCTAACCTAACCTAAACTAACTTTTTCGGCTACCTAACCTAACCTAACCTATAAAGATAGGTTAGGTTAGGTTAGGTAGGGTTGGTTAGGTTCGGTCATATCTCTACGTTAATTTTAACTCCAATAAAAAAAATTGACCTCATGCATAATGAAATGGGTAGCTTTATTGTTTCATAAGAAAAAAATTTGAGAAAATATATTAATTCAGGAAAACTTGGCTTATTAGGCAAATCGGGCCTTGCATAGCAGGCCGAGTACGACGTTCTGGCTACTAGGTACAACATATATATATATATATATATATATATATATATATATATATATATATATATATATATATATATATATATATATACATATATATATATATATACATATAAGTGACTCGAACCCATACTGCCAGGAGCAATGGAACTGGTATGTACAGGACGCCTTAATCCACTTTACCATCACGACCGGATATAAACTGGTGGTAGCCGAGGCTATTTAGCCCATTAACCCGCCGGCACTATGATGGTAATCTTGGGCATAGCATTTTATCAAATCACCTCATTCTTTGGGGCACACGTGAGGAACACAAGTGCGAACAAGGCTGAATGGTCCCCAGGACTATATGCAACTGAAAACTCACACCCCAGAAGTGACTCGTACCCATACTGCCAGGAACAACGCATCTGGTATGTACAGGACGCCGTTTTCTTCGCCTATAGAGGGAAAGACGTTCCCGTTCCAATCTGCATCTCTTTTTTTTCTTAGAGATGTGCGGTTTGAGCGTATTTCTAGTGCTACTGAGCTTATTTTTCCCTGGCACTGGTTCAGGTTTGCATTTTCTAGCTGTTCTTCCCAGTTTATATCTGTGCAGTCTTGGTTTATTTACTCCCACTTTATCTGTTTATTATTGAATTTGCTGAAATCTCCTCCACCGGGAATCGGGACAGGTTTTGAAGGTCTATTCCCCATGCTTGTTAGAACTTCAATTAAGTTGTGATCTAAGTAATAGGTATTTGTAATCATTATGTTCCTGATGAATTCAGCATTATTGGTGAAAATGAGGTCCAGGGTGTTCTCCTTCCTAGTTGGTTCTACTATTTGGTGGTTTAAGGCAAACCTGTCGCACATCCGTAGCAGGTCATTTGCATGTGCCTGTTCATTTAGGCTACTCCCTGGTATTCTTTCTGATATAACTATTAGCTAGGTTCTTCCATTTCAGGTGCCGAAGGTTGAAGTCCCCAAGCAGAATGATGTTCGGGGCTGGATTTGTGAGGTTTTCCAAGCAGTGTTCTATTTTCATTAGATGGTCTTTAAACTGCTAGTGATTTGTCTCTGGTGACTTATATACATATACATGCATACATTTATACATACATGCATACATATACACATTTAAGCTGTATACTTATATTTTGTCCGTTTATCCTCTCCAGAAAGAGAAAGATGTCACAATTTCACATCCATAAGTGATAGTGTTGGTTACCATTAGTAAGTATTTATGTTTTTATGGTTTGAGAAACTTTGTAATTATGAAATATATTGACATACTTATATTTCTGTTAATAAAATGTTCACTTGCAGCATCGTGATAACACAATATCCAAGAGCAACGCTGAATGAACGTCATCAACGTTGATTCAACATGGAAGAAACGCCACTCTTGGGTATTGCGCCCACTAGGTACATGGGGTTTTGTGCCCACTGGGTACATGGGGTTTTGTGCCCACTGGGTACATGGGGTTTTGTGCCCACTGGGTACATGGGATTTTGTGCCCACTGGGTACATGGGGTTTTGTGCCCACTGGGTACATGGGGTTTTGTGCTCACTGGGTACATGGGGTTTTGTGCCCACTGGGTACATGGGATTTTGTGCCCACTGGGTACATGGGGTTTTGTGCCCACTGGGTACATGGGATTTTGTGCCCACTGGGTACATGGGGTTTTGTGCCCACTGGGTACATGGGGTTTTGTGCCCACTGGGTACATGGGATTTTGTGCCCACTGAGTACATGGGGTTTTGTGCCCACTGGGTACATGGGGTTTTGTGCCCACTGGGTACATGGGATTTTGTGCCCACTGGGTACATGGGGTTTTGTGCCCACTGGGTACATGGGGTTTTGTGCCCACTGGGTACATGGGGTTTTGTGCCCACTGGGTACATGGGGTTTTGTGCCCACTGGGTACATGGGGTTTTAATATTTACGGCTGGTCGCACATTCTAACTTACGGTGATGTGCTTGTAACAGCTGCTCTGAGTTCTGTCTGGCTGCAGCAAAGGTTCCTGCAGAGACGAACGAACAACTGCCTGTATTTGGAACTGTATACTATCATAAGGTCAGTATTGGGTCAAGTATATTGAGGTATTGTAAAATAAAGAAAAGACTTTAAGTGTGACAGGTAGATTAACACAGCATCTCATTGTAACTGGAAACAAAACAAATTTAGGTTTTCTTTTTTTAATTAACTAGTAATTTTCCCCTGACACTTGATATGCTGCTTGTCTCGACATCCATGTTAACATCTCTACCATATTGGCCTCATTTGTGGTGATGCTAAAACTTAAATCATTACTTCCGCTCTGGCTCTTGGAGCCCTCGGCCATATTGTAAACAAAGGGACTAAGGCGACTTGCTGTTTATGCTTATCCTAAACTATTTGATGATGCTTTACTTTTACTCTGTATATATGTATTCTGGGACATCACTCACAGTACACGGTAATTAGCTGGTTGGATATAACATACCTATTAATGATTATGAAGTAATAAGGTCTACCGCCTTGTTCCCTACCTCCTAGCCTTGTTCTACTTGTTGCATTGTAATGTACTATTCTGACGATTGAATTCTTTGTCGACACTGGCTTTAATGATTTCGACGGAGGTGACTTCTATAACTTGTTTCAATTCATACCAGTTGTTAACCACTTTTACAAGGGTACGAGGCTTCCTGTTCTACCTTGTCATGGCCCCTCTATATCTTCTGATCTCTAGGGTTGTGACATCAAGTTCCCTTCATCTATAATTGCTTAACTCTCTTTGTGTAGCACTGGTCTTGTTGCAAACCTATGTACGTTAATTTTAGTTTTATGCTTCAAAAGGTGCGGATTCTATGCCAGTGTTGCATATTTTGGTACTGATCTAACAAAGGTTGAGTAGAGTGCCATGAAAGAATCCTGATTTGTGTTTCATAAGGACGTCCTAATGCTTGCCACCATCCCATATACTGCCGATGTTAACTTGTTTATTTGTGACTCAGGTGTTAGTGTTGAGTTATATCCTCTCCCAACTCTTTTAGTCTCTGATTCCTGTAGTTGCCTTCCCCATTATGGTGTTGATACCTCTTGGTCAACTTTTCCAGCTGTCATTACTTTACACTTGTTGGGATTGAATTCTAGCAATCATTTGTTTGCCATTCCTCCAATTTGTGAAGGTTTCCATGTAACTTTCTGGAGTCCTCGCATTTTACATTTCTCAATAGATTGCATCATTAGCAAGCATGTACAGGTACGAGGTCACCTCATACAAGTTAGGAGCAGTAGTACTAGGCCTAGAACAGAGGCTTTTAGGAACCCACTTGATAGGAATTTATACTACCTAGGTAATTCAACTAACTGTAGTTACAGGAAGAGAGCTACGTTCGTGGTGTCCCGTCTTCATAATTATCTTTGTCATATAAAGTTTTGGAACTACTGATGGTTTTGGCCGCCATCACCTTCTCATTCGACTTTCAACCCTCCTCGACTCAAGTCCATTACATCCAGCGATCGACCCCACAGACGAATTTATATATTTTTACATGCTGTTCATTCAAAATGCGAATTTTCTCAAATATAAATTAACATTATAATATATTAGCATCTAGTACATATATAGGCATAGGTTAGGTTAGGTGTTTAGGTTCTGTTAGCGATTATTTGTATTTGTAGTACGTGGGTGAAGCATTTACAGTCTTGTGGTTCGAACAAAAGTCGTCAGTGAAGCACTTGTTCCGGAAGTGTTTGAATTAAATCCAGCCCGTCCTCCAAACAAAGATCCAAAAGTGATTCCATGCACCCGCCAAACCCCCTGTTTATGAATGAAAAGCGGTTTACACACGACTCACAACTGCTGACGTTCGAACATATCCGGAACAAGTGCTTCACTGACGAATTTTGTCCGAATCACAACGCTATAAATGCTTCACCCACGTACTACAAATACAAATAATCGCCAACAGAACCTAAACACCTAACCTAACCTATCCTATGCCTATATATACACAATATGCTAATATATTATAATATTAATTTATACTTGAGAAAATTCCAGTTTTGAATAAACAGCATGTTAAAATTTATGAATGCATCTGTGGGGTTGACCGCTGAATGTAATGGACTTGAGTCGAGGACGGGTTGTTAATCAGTTGTGAGTCGTGTGTAAACCGTTTTTCATTCATAAACAGCGGGGGGTTGGCGGGTGCATGGAATCACTTTTGGATCTGATTTGGAGGACCGGCTGAACGAGAAAATTTTCTTGTGTTTTTTTTTGGAAGCTTTGTGTTTTAGCTTGAATCTATGGCCTCTTATTTTTGAAGTTGCAGGTTCCAAAATCTACTCATTGTTTATTTTGTCGATTCCTGTTACTACTTTGTATGTAGTGAACATATCGTTTCGTTTCCTTGTATCTTCTAGCCCTGGAATGTTCAACGCCTCCAGTCTTTCCTCACAAATCATGTTCCTAAGTACCAGGACCCATTTAGTAGCAAGTCTTTGCAACATTTCTAGTTTGTTTATGTGCTCCTTAAGATGAGAACACTCCCCCTTTCCTGTGGGCATTTTTGGTTACTTTAACGTCGCTCTGACGTCGTCCACCAATGTCGCTTGGCCATCGTGCGATGACTTAGAATGAAAATAATAGCAACCTTCGGTGTAAAGAGTCTCTCAAATTAAGGTCAATATTCCCTTGATTTTACATTTAGATATCGTTACCTTCAACGTTAATAGAACCATTAGAAATTGTATGCACTCTAGGGCGGACGCATGCTGCATGCACGCCCTCCCTCCTTCCCACATCAACCCTCCCCTCGCCCACGCCTATGCCCAGCTGCCTGTCCCCACCACCCGCAACATTGCCCTCGCCTATCCACACCCAACCCGTTCTCGCACTTGCGTACAGTCAATATTGGCTTATTTAATAAGTGCATATGTGACATACTAATTGATTGTGAATATTTTAGTTTGCCTTGAAAAGCTTCATAGAAAACACTGACCTCACCTAACCTTCTTAGTATGTTAAGATAAGCATCTTATTGCTTCTTATTTACAATTATTACTTAACCTATCAACGGTATAGGTTAAGTAATAAGTGTAATTAAGAAGCAATGTAATTAAGAAGATAAGCATCTTATTGCTTCTTATTTAAAATTATTACTTAACCTATCAACGGTATAGGTTAAGTAATAAGTGTAATTAAGATGCAATAAGATGCTTATCTTAACATACTAAGAAGGTTAGGTGAGGTCGGTGTTTTCTATGAAGCTTTTCAAGGTAAACTAAAATATTCACAATCAATTAGTATGTCACATATGCACTTATTAAATAAGCCAATATTGACTATAAGCAAGTGCGAGAACGGGTTGCCACACCCGCTTGCCCTCCGCCTGCAACTGCCCATCCACACTGCTTCCCCTTCTTCCCCCACCCCTGCTGGTAACCCACCCAACCCCAGCACCCGCCAACACCAGACCCCTCCAACCCCGCCAACCACTCACCCGCCACACATACTCATAGTACAAGCCTTCCTCACACTAGGCTCTTTAAAGCAGCGGCAGTCCTCCCCAGATGCACTCATCAAATTTTTACATACTGTATATTAGAAAATGCTTTGTTCTCATATATAAATTAATATTATACATTAAAATCCTGTGTATAGTTAGGCGTAAGTCAGGTTAAGTGTTTAGGTTCTATTGGCGATTATTTGTATTTGAGGCTCGTGGGTGAAGCATTTATAGAATTGTGGTTCGAACAAAGGACGTGAGCGTAGCACTTGTTCCGGAAGTGTTCTGACTTCATCAGTTGTGAGTCTGGTGTAAACCGCTTTTCATTCATAAACAGTGGGTTTGGTGGTTGGATTAACGAGCTTGGATCTTTGTATGCGAGGGCGGGCTGCATAGAAGTAGTACAGTAGGTGTCGTTCTCGACTCATAATCGAGAATGACTCATAATCTCGACTCACAATTCGATTCTGGAAGTTCCAAATGGTTGTTCACCGTTTATTTGCTCCATCATAGCCAGGTTGTTGTCCCTTTATTCCTTCCAAGTCCTACATGGTCACTCTGGCTTGTCACTAACTTGTCTTTCTATTTAGCTTAGTTTCCTGAGCCCAGGAATATGGCTTGTTAAGGGCTGAATTTCAAGTCCCATCTCACCACCTGCTTGTTATATAAACTTCATTGTATTCTAATTACCCCCAGTTACAGCCCCGCTCCTGTACCAGGTAAGTACGACGGGCTCACCATAGCCCCGTGCTGCTTGGAACGTTTTGTTCCGAGTAGCTCAATCTAAAACAACAACATATAATTACATGAATATGGTGACAAACTGGTCGTTAGAGAATTGTTGTAATTATTATAAGGTATGGTAAAGTGTAATAGGTAACATAGTGACGTATTGCAGGAGTCAGATGTGTGCCTCGCTGCCTTACATGCAGGAGCCGTCAGTACCCGGGGAGGACCTGTCACCTTCACCAGAGATAATACTGCTCATAACATCCGGGGCACCATACAACACCGTGTTGTTTCACTATCAAAGTTGTAAGTATACCTTGTGTGTACATGAACTGTGTGGATTCCGTCCTCTGCCTCTGGGGGGCGTGGACGTCGGGCTCTGGCTGCCAGTAGCTGTTTGTCGCTGACTGGTGGTGGTTGCTCGTTGCTGTGGGGCGGCAGCTGACTGAGGCGGAGGTCAGCAATATGGCGGCGGCTGGTGGTGGCCGCATCCGCCGTGTGATTACTGCTCGGCTGGAGTTCTCTGCACCGGTGGATTGGGAACTAGTGGCGGCTGCGCTTTTGGATGTCCTTCAGGTGGATATTAAAGATCTCCTCGGTCTCGAGAAATTTTCTCCCACTCGCGTGGCGGTGACGTTTGCCACGTCACCTGGATACGAGCGGTTTGTGGGGTGTTGGAACGAGCGGACGACTCCCCTTCCTCATTCGGCTGTGTCTGTGACTGTCTCTGATCCGTGGGGTCCACTGACCTTTGTGAGCGTACACGGGGTACCTGTTGCGTTTCCAGAGGTGGAGCTTTCTTCTGTGTTTACGAGGTATGGTATGGTGTTGCGTCATCGGTACAACTTGTTTAGTGCCGGGCGGCTGCGGGGCCTCCGGCTGGGTACTCGCACGCTGCATATGCGCCTCAAGGAGCCCATCCCCTCCAAGGTTATGTGCTGTGGTCTTCCGCTCCGGGTTTTCTATCCAGGGCAGGCCCGCACGTGCTTCCGCTGTGGGGAGGAGGGCCATGACGCTGCCCAATGTGAGGTTCCTCGACTGGAGACTGCTTCTGTCTTCTGTGTGGGGGATTTTTCCCCCCTCCGTGGGGATGGTGCATCCCTGGCTGGTCCTCGGCGTGGGGGTGTGAATGGTGGGGCACCTGTGACTGTTGTGCCTGGTGGTGCACCTGCGACTGCTGTGCCTGGTGGTGCACCTGCGACTGCTGTGCCTGGTGGTGCACCTGCGACTGCTGTGCCTGGTGGTGCACCTGCGACTGCTGTGCCTGGTGGTGCACCTGCGACTGTTGTGCCTGGTGGTGCACCTGCGACTGTTGTGCCTGGTGGTGCACCTGCGACTGTTGTGCCTGGTGGTGCACCTGCGACTGTTGTGCCTGCTGGTTCGTCTGTGCCTGTAGTGTCTTCTGTGCCAGCTGTGGTGGAGGACGTGGCTGCTCCTGTTTCCCGGCTTCTACTTCCGGTGGATGTGGAGGTGCATCCTGTTCCTGGTGCTTCGTTGGTGAATGGGCGTGGTGTTGGGAGTGTCGTCTCGGTGCCTCCCGTTGTAGGCGATGCTTTCACTGAGGGTGATGGAAGCGTCGTCGTTGGTGCCGGCGTTCCTGTTGCATGCATTGCGAGTCCGCCTTCTGCTCCCCCTGCGGGTGCGTGCCATGAGGGGGCGTTGACCTCACTTGCTCCTCGCCGGAAGCGCGTTGCGGGGGCGCGCTCACGCAGTCGAGAGCCCCCTGGCAAACGGATTGAGGCTTCGCGGAGTTGTGCATTGGGTGGTGCCCCCCCTCCTCCTCCTAATTCTCCTGTATCTGATATGGATTCCGGAAGTGATGCAGTGCCGGTTGGCAGCAAGAATTCCTCGTCGGTGGTGGACGTTGGTGATACCTGGTCAGTGGCAGCGGGGTCTCGGCGTGCTTCGCTGGGTGATGCCGGCACTGTCCGCCTCCTGCGGGATCAGAGGCCAGGCATTATGGTGGATTCCCCGACGGTGGGGCGGCGGCAGTTTGAGCCTCAGGATGATGACGGCGCCTCTGTGCCCTCTGGTGGTCCTGGAGGGGCTGGGGGTCATTAATGGGTTCGATGGCGCCTGCTATTGTTTGTGCGTCTTTGAATGTTCGTGGTCTGAATGCTTTGGCGGTCCAATTGGGCCTTGTGGATGTGCTTCGGGAGCAGCGGGTGGATGTGGCTCTGATCCAAGAGCACAATGTTCGGGATGTGTCTGTGTTGCAGGGGTTGTGTGCTGAGTATCATGTTGTGTTGAACCCGCCGAGGACGTCCTTTGGGGGAACGCTGATGTTGTTTTCGCGGAGGGCATCCATTTCCGTGCTTCACACGGAAATGGATGAAGAAGGGCGGGTCTTGTTTGTTCGGGCTGAGTATTTGGGGGTAGTGATTCCGTTCTTGACAGTGTACGCCTCTTCTGGGGTGGCGCATCGTCAGGACTGGGAGCTGTTTTTTCGGGAGGGGCTTTTGCCATACCTGCGGCATGATACGCGGGATTTGATCTTTGGGGGGATTTTAATTGTGTTACGTGTGTGAGGGATTGCTCTAGTGCTCACCCTCGGAATGTTTCGGCCGCTTTAATTGAGGTTTTGCGTGCGTGCGGGTTTCGCGATGCGGCTGTTTTGTGTGGCGGCTCGTTGGAGTATACCTTCGCTGCGCGTGGGGCGAGTTCTAGGTTGGATAGGTTCTATGTTTCTGGTGGGGAGTGTTCGGTTTTTGATTTTCGCACGGTCCCGGTGGCTTTCTCGGATCATTGTATGGTGGTTGTCCGGGTTAGTGTCCGGAGTCAGGTGCGGGTGGGGCCTGGGTGGTGGAAACTCAATTGTTGGTTATTGCGTTGTCCACGTATTTGTGCGCTGTTTCGGGCCTGGTGGGTTGGCATCGTTGCCCGGAAGGCTGATTTCTCCTCTTTGTTCGTTTGGTGGGAGTGGTGTAAGGTGGAGTGTCGGAGGTTTTTTGGGATTGTTGCTAAGCGGGAGGCTGCCGGGAGGTTTGGTCTGCTGCGGTTCCTTCAGGCGCGTTTGTCTTCTTTATATGTGCAGTTGAATGCTGGGGTTGACTGCTTTAGTGAGATTGCTGAGTGTAAGGAGCGTATTTGTGATTTGCGTGCGGTGTTGGCTGACGGTGTTCGCGTGCGTGCTCGTGTAGCTGAGCGGGTGGATGGGGAGAGGCTCTCTCCCTTTCTTTTAGGGAGGGAGAAGGCTGCTAGGGGTTCCGTTCTTCTCAAGGGCCTTCGGCGGCCTGATGGGTCTGTGATTTCTAGCACAGAGGGTGTTCTGCTTACCGCGCGGCGGGAGTTGGAGGCACTCTATGGGGAGGTGCATGGTGATAGTGTGCTCGCGGGTTCCTTTTTGGACAGGTGCTTCCCCGGTTTGTCGCGCTCGGAGTGTGACCGGTTGGTGCAGGATGTTTCCACGGTGGAGCTCCTGGAGGTGGTTCGGTCGTTTCGTTCTGGGAGAGTGCCGGGTGCGGATGGCCTGCCCATTGAGTTCTACCTTACCTTTTGGGATGTGTTGGGGGGGGGGGGGGGGGGTGCTTTTGGAAGTGGTGCAGGCGTGTTTGCGTTTGGGTGCTCTGCCCGATTCCTTTTGTGACGGGATCGTGCGGCTACTCCCGAAGCCGGGCGATTTGCAGTTGTTTTCCAATTGGAGGCCTATTACGCTCTTAAATGTTGATTATAAAATTCTTTCTAAGGTTTTAGCGCGTCGATGTCGGGGTGTCGTTGCGTCGGTGGTCTCTATGGAGCAATTTTGTGGTGTGCCTGGCCGTGCCCTAATGCATTGCAATGCCTTACTTCGTGACGTGCTTCTCTATGCGTCCGAGTATCGGCTTTCGGCGGCTATGATCAGCTTGGACTGGTCCAAGGCCTTTGATCGGGTGTCTTTAGAGTTTGTTTTTAGTGCTATGGAGAGGCTTGGTTTTCCGGTGGTGTTTGTGGGGTGGGTCCGTTTGTTGTATGTCCGGAGTCGCAGTCGCGTTTGTGTGAATGGGTTTTTTAGCTCATTTTTTCCTATTTGCCGTTCCGTTCGTCAGGGGTGTCCCATGTCCATGCTTTTGTATGTGATTTTTCAGGAACCTCTTTTCCGGGCAGTGAAAGCGTGTTCCTTGATCGTGCCTCCTTGTCTGCCGTCCGGTCTCCGGCTACCCGTTTGCGGGTATGCTGACGACACCATTCTATTTGTAGCTTCGGAGGATTCTGTTGAAGCTGTCCAGGACGTTCTCCTGCGGTTTGAGTCCGCTACGGGGGCCGTTCTTAATTGGGCGAAGTCGGGGTTGATGGGGATCGGTGAGTGGGCCTCCCGCCTGGTGTGGGATAGGTCGTGGTTTCCGGTGGTCTCCTCGATTCAGGTTCTTGGGGTTACTTGGTTTGCCTCCTATGACCACTCCTTGGAGTGGAATTGGGGTGCTGTCTCTCGGTCGGTTGGTGTTGCAGTTGGCCTTTTGTCGCGTCGTCCCTTGACGATTTATCAGAGGGGACTGCTTGTTGCGTGTAAGGTCTTGTCGCGTGTCTGGTTTGTGGCTCGATGTTTCCCGTTGGATCGTCGGAAGGCCTTGAGTTTGGAGAGTGTGGTGTATAGATATGTATGGTGTGGGCGTTATCAACCGGTGCGCCGTTCGACGTTGGTGTTAGGGGTGAGAGAGGGGGGTGTTGGCATTCCTGACGTCTTCACGAAGGCCAAGGCCCTCTTCTGGGTCTCGTTGCGTCGGGGGCTGGCTCTCGGTGGGGGGTTGAATACGCTGGGTGTGTTTTTCTGCTCGCTTCGCTTCAGTTTTTTGGTTGATTTGGGGGTTTGTCAGGAGGTGGCCTTGTTTACCCCCCTGTTTATTCTTGGGCCGTGGGGATTCTTCGGGAGCTCTGCCGCCATCCTGGGTTTCTGTCTTTCTCGTGCAAGGCTGTGTATGGGGTGTTGTTGCCCCGGGTGCGGCCTCGAGTGGAGGGCTTGTTCCCGTGTTGGGATTGGGGTGGTATCTGGTCGTGTTTGGGGGCACGGTTCTTGGCGCCTCAGCAGCGTGAATTGCTGTTTCGGGTTCTGCATTTGTCGCTGGCGACTAATGAGCGGTTGTGTATGCTTGGCTTGCGTGATTCTGGGGCGTGTGTTCATTGTGGTTTATGTGAATCGCAGGTGCATGTATTTTATTTTTGTGTCCGGTTACAGGGGTTGGTGGACTGGTTTCGGGATGTCCTGGAGGTGTTTTGTGGTCCGGGTTGTCGGGGTGATGTTTTGCAGTTTTTGTTTTTGTATTGTCCGGCTTATCCGCTGCGGGTGCGTAATACATTATGTGTTTTGGTTGCTGATTATGTGTTTTGTGTGTGGGTTGGGAGGCGGGAGGGTTTTGGGATTGCCCGAATTTTAGGATTTTTACGGGGGCGCATGCGGTTTACCTGGTGGTGGTTGCAGCGCGCTTTTCCGGAGGAGTTTGGTCGGTGGTTCACAGATGCCTATGTTCGTGGGGTTGCCTTTGGGTCGGTAGGTGCCTTGGTGGCAAGGTGATGTTCTCGTCTTGGGTGGGGTTGGGGTGTTGATGGGGGGGTTTAGAGGGGTTGAGGGGTTTCGGGGTTTGCTTTGCTATGCGCTCCCTTTCCGCTTCTTGGGGTGTCCTTGGCGGGGGTTGCGTGTGTTTGTGTGTCTCCCCCCTTGAGATGCTGCTGCTCCTGTGTGTGTGTGGTGTGTTTTCCGTACCTCCGGGTGCCGGTTGTGTCCGTATGCGTGTGGGTGTGTGGTTTTGAGGGGGGTTTTGGCTCCTGCGTGGGCCTGGGTTTTTTGCTGTACTGTTTTCTACTGTTCCTTTTGTGGCCGTGTTTCGCTTTGGCCTGTAACCCATTATTTTGCGTGCTTGGGTGCAGTGTGGTGTGCCGTGGTGGTGTGTGTGGTATGAGTGTGTTTGTCTTGTTGTTTAGAGTGTGTTTAGTGTGTGTGTACATAATTTCTTCTCGTTTAGTGTATGTCATTTTCCTGGGTAGCGCGTGTATGGTCCTGTGCTCCTTTGTTCTTCTGGGTGTGTGGTAGGCGTGGTTTTGTGCACGTGATTCTATATCCACATCTGTGTATGTTTATGTTATTGGTTCCAGGTGTGTTTAAATGTTATTTATGTACTTTATTGTTAATTTATTTTTCATGTAATTTTCTTGGCCATGTTCTGTGTTGCTATGTAGATATGAACTGTTTAGCCTATTGTTTCCATGTACTGTTTTAGCACTTATTTCCCTGTACTGTTTAGCCCATTGCTTCAATGCGTTTTTATTTTGTTCAGCGCTTGTGTTTGTTTTGCGGTTACTGTTATTGTTTAGTGTACAGACTGTTTATTCTTGTGTACTGTTCCTTCATTGGTGTACTTGATGTGTACAGGTTTGCGTTGTTTTGTGTGTTCTTGTATTTGTGTAATTTATAAAAGTAAATAAAAAAAAAAAACTGTGGCTCCACACAGCAATCATCCAGTATGATACTTACTCACTTTATAAGTGTGCTTAGTGCCATGTTCACAAGTGTGTCTCGTCCAATGTTCACAAGTGTCTCTCGTCCTAGGTTCATAAGTCTATGGGCGAGGATGACAAGTATGTCGGGTGCCAGACCACACATGTGTGTCTGGTGCCAGGCCACACACGTGTGTCGAGTGCCAGGCCCCCACACGTGTGTTGAGTGCCAGGCCCACACACATGTTTAATGCCAGGCCAACATACGTGTGTCTGTGCCTGTACACCATAAGTGTACAGGTCCCTAGTTTACACCTTGACAGTACAGGTGCTAGTTTACACCTTGACAGTACAGGTGCTAGTTTACACCTTGACAGTACAGGTGCTAGTTTACACCTTGACAGTACAGGTGCTAGTTTACACCTTGACAGTACAGGTGCTAGTTTACACCTTGACAGTACAGGTGCTAGTTTACACCTTGACAGTACAGGTGCTAGTTTACACCTTGACAGTACAGGTGCTAGTTTACACCTTGACAGTAAAGGTGGTAGTAATTGTCACAGAACAATGACTGTTAAAGACGCGACAATAACACTGTATCATGTATTATAAACTGGTAATGAAAGTTCTGTACATCACGTCTGAAGCATCACAAAGAGGCAGTAATAAATATTGTTATTACAGGCAAGAGAACTCTGCTGATCATACTACATACAAGTTCCTGAACATTACTCCAGTCGTCACCCAGCAAGGTAAGGCTCATTACCCCAGTCGTCACCCAGCAAGGTAAAGCTTTACCCCAGTCATCACCCAGCAAGGTAAGGCTCATTACCCCAGTCGTCACCCAGCAAGGTAAGGCTTTACCCCAGTCATCACCCAGCAAGGTAAGGCTCAATACCCCAGTCGACACCCAGCAAGGTAAGGCTCAATACCCCAGTCATCACCCAGCAAGGTAAGGCTCAATACCCCAGTCATCACCCAGCAAGGTAAGGCTCATTACCCCAGTCATCACCAAGCAAGGTAAGGCTTATTACCCCAGTCATCACCCAGCAAGGTAAGGCTCATTACCCCAGTCATTACCCAGCAAGGTAAGACTCATTACCCCAGTCATCACCCAGCAAGGTAAGGCTCAATATCCCAGTCATCACCCAGCAAGGTAAGGCTCTTTACCCCAGTCATCACCCAGCAAGGTTAGGCTTTACCCCAGTCATCACCCAGCAAGGTAAGGCTCAATACCCCAATCGACACCCAGCAAGGTAAGGCTCATCTCTAATACATTACCACAGTCATCACCCAGCAAGGTAAGGCTCGTCTCTAATACATTACCACAGTCATCACCCAGCATCTTGAGAGGTTATCTTGAGATGATTTCGGGGCTTTAGTGTCCCCGCGGCCCGGTCCTCGACCAGGCCTCCATCCCCAGGAAGCAGCCCGTGACAGCTGACTAATTCCCAGGTACCTATTTACTTCTAGGTAACAGGGGCATCAGGGTGAAAGAAACTGTCCATCGTTTCTCTCCCGGGATCGAACCCGGGACCACAGTTTCACGCGTCCAGTGTTTTGTCCACTCAGCCACCGGCTCCCTAGCATGGTAACACTCATCACACTGGAAATCCTAAATACTCTTATTAGCTTCTGCATGTTGCTATCTCTTATGTTGCGGTAAAAAATATTTATACAATTAAGTACAATCTAATCTGTTTAGTTTGAACTTATATTAGTACTCTTGCACTAAAGCAGTTAATGTCAACAGACCTGGCTGAGGATGTGATCATTGTCCACAACTCGTACTCTGGGAACGGCGGCCAACTGGACTTCACCTGCTTGGCCAGCGACACCAGCAGGCGGCTCACTGAGGAGGATATTGTATCCTGGCGCTATACAAAGCATCATTTTGATTTAAAAATCTTTCGTAAGTATTATTGAAATATCTGTAGATTCTCATATATGTTTGTGATTATAATTCCTTTATGGTTTCATATATTTCTGGCAGTACAGTCAGGGTCCCGGTAGTACAGTCGGGGTCCCGGTAGTACAGTCGGGGGTCCCGGTAGAACAGTCAGGGTCCCAGTAGTACAGTCAGGGTCCCGGTAGTATAGTCAGGGTCCCGGTAGTATAGTCAGGGTCCCGGTAGAACAGTTGGGGTCCCGGTAGTACAGTCGGAGTCCCGGTAGTACAGTCGGGGGTCCCAGTAGTACAGTCAGGGTCCCGGTAGAACAGTTGGGGTCTCGGTAGAACAGTCGGGGTCCTGGTAGTACAGTCGGGGTCCTGGTAGTACAGTCAGGGTCCTGGTAGTACAGTCGGGGTCCTGGTAGTACAGTCGGGGTCCTGGCAGTACAGTCGGGGTCCTGGTAGTACAGTCGGGGTCCTGGCAGTACAGTCGGGGTCCTGGCAGTACAGTCGGGGTCCTGGCAGTACAGTCGGGGTCCTGGCAGTACAGTCGGGGTCCTGGCAGTACAGTCGGGGTCCTGGTAGTACAGTCGGGGTCCTGGCAGTACAGTCGGGGTCCTGGCAGTACAGTCGGGGTCCTGGCAGTACAGTCGGGGTCCTGGCAGTACAGTCGGGGTCCTGGCAGTACAGTCGGGGTCCTGGCAGTACAGTCGGGGTCCTGGCAGTACAGTCGGGGTCCTGGCAGTACAGTCGGGGTCCTGGTAGTACAGTCGGGGTCCTGGCAGTACAGTCGGGGTCCTGGCAGTACAGTCGGGGTCCTGGCAGTACAGTCGGGGTCCTGGCAGTACAGTCGGGGTCCTGGCAGTACAGTCGGGGTCCCAGCAGTACAGTCGGGGTCCCACCAGTGCACAGTTGGGGTCTCAGCAGTACAGTTGGGGTCTCAGAATTACAGTCGGAGTCTCAGCAGTACAGTTCGGGTCTCAGCAGTACAGTCGGGGTCCCAATAGTACAGTCGGTTCCCGGTAGTACAGTCGGGTTCGTTCTCGACGTACAGTCGAGAATTCCGGGTTCGAATCTCGGGCGGGACAGTAATGGATCTAGATTATCTTGAGGTTATCTTGAGATGATTTCGGGGCTTTAGTGTCCCCGCGGCCCGGTCCTCGACCAGGCCTCCACCCCCAGGAAGCAGCCCGTGACAGCTGACTAACACCCAGGTACCTATTTTACTGCTAGGTAACAGGGGCATAGGGTGAAAGAAACTCTGCCCATTGTTTCTCGCCGGCGCCCGGGATCGAACCCGGGACCACAGGATCACATGTCCAGCGTGCTGTCCGCTCGGCTCCCTCCCTCCCTGGATGGGCACATTTCCTATCACCTAATTCATCTGTTCACCTAGCAGTAAGTAGGTCTTCAGGAATTATTCAGCTTGTGGTCGGGTTGTATCCTGGGCGGGGTCAGTGATTCGACCTTCGCGGGGAGGGGGGGGGGTAGGACCTATATATATGCCTATCGTGTATGAATACACTCTGGCTTCCTGTGCCCTGACATAGTGAATTAAATTTAGTCACAATGAATAATAAATTTTTACACATTGCCATTTTTACAATGATGTTGGTTTTATTCCTGAGGATACTCGTATTAGTAACATAAATAATAATGTGTACTAATTAGTGCAGTTTGGATTAATAGAACTACAGTGTAGGGGCAGGGAACTCTAAGCGTAGGGGCAGTTCGTAGACAAAGTCCATTTTCGTGACAAAAGGAACACCACGAGGAAGGTTGGTTAGGATTTGCTTCCTTTTGTGGTATGTTGGTTGTGGTGGATCTCACTTAATGTGATAAGAGCTTCCTCCTGTGATATGTTGGTTGTGTTGTACCTCACTGTTAATGTGAGGTAATTGAAACTATTGACAACAAATTCTCTTTTATTATACTTACTGAACCATGGTTGAAAGAGGATACTACTCAACTCTTTAACATGCCTAACTACTCGGCAATTCACAACTGTCGTCAACTTCAGAGAGGTGGTGGCACTGCTCTTTACTACCACCAAGAACTAACATGCTTAAAAGAAATTAGAACTAGAGACTGCTGTGGGGAGTATATCTTCGCCAGCTTCAGAGTCAAGGGTGCCGAGTCTGTCCTGTCTGTGGGTGCAGTCTATAGAATTCCTAACACTGATGTGTCCGAATTCAACTCAAACCTTAGAAATCTAATACTAGATAACAGACTGAACAAAAACCATCTAATAATCGCAGGGGACTTTAAATTAATATTGACCTCTGCGAGCCTGAACATCCTACTGTTGTTAGCTTCCTCAACTGTATGAATTCCTGCTTCCTCATACCCTTAATCACTAGACCTACTAGAATCACTGATAGCACTGCCACGACTCTAGATCACATCTCGACAAACATAACCTCTCCGCTTACTTCAGGTATAATCACCGATAGCACTACAGACCATTACCCCACATTTCTCTTAACTAACATTAGCAAACCACCACTAGAGTCAAGGGAGTTAAGTTTTAGGCTGCACAATGAAACTGCTATAGACAATTTTATAACTGCTGCTGATAATGTCAACTGGGAGTCCGAGTTAGGTAACATAGAGGACATCAACCTAGCAGTGCAATATTTTCTTCAAAAAACTCTTAGCCTTTATAACACCCACTGTCCTATGCTTACAAAACAAGTCACAACCAAAAGGCTTAACAATCCCTGGCTTACAAAGGGAATACTTAACTCCATTAATAAAAAACATGACCTTGAGAAGAAGTATAGGTTAGGAATTGTCTCCAAAGAATTCTCAAAGAATTACTCATTATTGCTATCTAAGATAATTAGACGAGCCAAAACTAAATACTACGAAGATAAATTTACCCAAATAAAGAGCAACATTAAAAAATCTTGGAGCACAATTTCACAAATATTGTGATCAAAGAATACTTTAAATAACAAACCAACACTCCTTTCCAATAACGATGGTCAGCTTTCAGCCTCAGATTCTGCTATTGAGTTCAATAGGTTCTTCTCTTCCATTGGGTCATCCCTTGCAAATGATATTCCATCTTCCAGTACTGACGTTAAGGACTATCTCACAGGTAACTATCCACAGTCTCTGTACCTAAAGCCTATTAATTCCACTGACGTCAATGAGATAATCCTTTCCCTTAAAACCAAGTCTAGTGCCCTTGAGGAGATACCAACTTTAATTTACAAAAAAGCCTCCAGATCTTTAGCCCCTGCTATTGCATTGCTCTTCAACAAGTCACTTGAACTCCAAACCTTTCCAGATATTCTAAAAAAAGCGAGAGTAACGCCTGTCCACAAATGTGGTGATCCCACAGATGTTAACAACTACAGACCTATATCAATCCTCCCAAACTTGTCAAAAAATTTTGAAAAACTTATCTATAAGCAGCTTTACTCTTATCTAGCCAAACACAATATACTTAGCCCTTGCCAATATGGCTTCAGACCCAAAAAAAGCACTAACGATGCACTTAATAGTATGCTTAACTCGACTCATACAGCTCTTGATAAAAATGAGTTCCCTGTTGGGTTATTTGTGGACCTGCGTAAAGCTTTTGACACTGTCAACCATCAAAACCTTCTTCTTAAACTACATCATTATGGAGTCAGAGGACACTCCCTGCAATACCTCAAATCCTACCTTACTGACAGGCTCCAGTATGTTTCTGTGAATAATTCAATTTCTCTCACCCTACCCATCAACATTGGTGTCCCTCAGGGCAGCATACTTTGCCCTCTCCTCTTTCTCATCTACATTAATGACCTTCCAAATGCCTCCCAACACCTCAAACCAATTCTATTTGCTGACGACACAACCTTCATTTACTCCAGTCCTGACCCCCTTGCTCTAAATGCCACAGTAAATACTGAGCTAAATAAAGTCCATCTTTGGCTTACTGCCAACAAACTCACCCTTAACATTGACAAAACTTTCTATATTCTGTTTGGCAATAAATCCTCTAATCAAATAAATCTCAAAATAAACAATACCCAAATTTGTAACAAATTAGATGGCAAATTCCTTGGCATTCTCATTGACCACAAGCTGAATTTCCAGGGACACATTCTAAATATATCAAACAAAGTTTCAAAAACTGTTGGCATTCTTTCTAAGATCAGATATTATGTACCCCGCCCTGCCCTGGTGACTCTCTATTACTCCCTTATCTATCCATATCTCAACTATGGTATTTGTGCTTGGGGTTCTACTACTCAAAATCATTTACGTCCTCTAATTACTCAACACAAAGCTGCTATTAGGACAATATCCAACTCTGGCCCCAGACATCACTCGGTACCCCTACTCAAATCTCTGAATATGTTAGACATTAAGTCACTGCACATTCTCTCATGTGTATTATACATATATAAAACGCTAAACTGTAATGCCAATCCTGACCTTAAAAGCTTCATAGAAGGTTGTATCAGAACCCATGAGCACCACACCAGAAATAAATACAGTTTTGATATTCCTAGAGTACGACTTAATCAAACTAGAAATGCTCTACAAATCAAGGGACCCAGATTGTGGAATTTTCCCAACCATGTTAAAGACTGTACCTCTCTCAACCAGTTTAAGATAACGAAGCTATACCTAATAAATTCCCTGTAACCTACCTTACCCCTCTATTGTCATCCAATGTCTGTTTTTTTTAAAGAGCGTTGTTTGTCGACAGAATTGTATTTGTGCTGCTTTTTCAGCTATGTTTTCCTTCCATGTTTTCATTTTACTCTTTATGCTCAATTAGTATTAAGCTTTAGTCATTTAAGTTTTTTATGCCCGAAACGCTTTACGTAATAGTGGCTTTAGGCATTGTATGTACTAGCCCTAACTATAAATCCATCACTCTTTGTAAAATCTCTTTTATGTATGTACCTTACTTAAATAAACATTTTGATTTTGATTTGATTTTGTGACAAAGCTTCCTCCTGTGGTTGTGTTGTACCTCACTGTTAATGTGACAGAGCTTCCTCCTGTGGTTGTGTT